CAATTATTGATTGTTCAATCAAGCAATATTTTTTCTAATAAATATCAATTTCACGTAAGATCAAATTAATCAATAGAGAACGATATTTCCTCCGCTGTTCATAGTTATTCGAGCATTAATAATTTGAGAAAAAAAAAAAAAAAAACTAAATTAAATCTAACACACCTTCTTTACTCTACACTGTGTAACATAACCCGATAAAAAAACAATCCAACCGATAATATGTTCATTCAACTATATACGTTGATATTCATGGTGAATTAAATTGATTTTTTTCTTAGTTGTAGTTGCAACAAAAAGTAAATTTTATTTTCTTCTTAACAAAAAAAGAAAAAAAAAAAAAGATGTGGCTTCTTTATCAAACAAAAAGTTGACCACAGATTGATTGTTCCATACATAAATTAAATTCGAAAAATTTTTGTTTTAAAATTTACTTGCTAAATGTCTCTCTATACAGAGTGTATGAACATAATGATGTTTTATTTTAACCTTCGGCGTTTAATTACGATTTACTTCTTTTTTTTCTCTGATGAGAAGAGAGATGAGATGTGTGACTTTTCATCTACTGTATATTTGTGTCAGAATTATCAAGCATCGTATTTCTGACTCATTCAAGGAAACTGTCTCTCTCTCGCTCTCTTTTATACTTTGTGACCTTTATCATGTCGTTGTCAATTTATAACAAAGTGTTTCCAATGATGAGACAAGTGTGTATGTGTTTGTACAATCGAAAAATATAAGAGGTGATGACCGAAAAATGGTTAAGACTCGAAAGACAACGAGAAAAAAAGATGAAATAATAGAGGTGCTTCATTAATGAGTACTTCACACTTTCGAGTAAATGTATGTGTCGTCTAATCAAATTCAAATTTTTTTTCATATGATCTCTAACCGCTTCATTTTATCGATAAAAACAAAAAAACAGAAAAAATTCATCAACATGTGAAAAGAGAATGATCATATAGATTGTATGATCTGATAGAATCATGAGATGAGATATTTATTATCGAAGATCAAGAAAATTCCAAGTTTCATTCTAAACAATCGAGCAATAGATTTCTAAATTTAAATCAGACAATAAATATTTTAAACAATTTACCATTGATAAGTAACAGATTTTATCAATCTAGCTTTCTCTTAGACATATTTTCAACAAAAATCTTTTCATTGATTGCATTGCTGTCTTTATACTTCTTCTTTTTTTTTTTATTATCTACTACATTAATCTACACATTTGGAATTTAATACTCATAGACAACATATAATAAACGATATTGAATTGTTTTTACATTTTACAATTAACTTAATAAAGAAATATTGTCATCGTCTTTTATACCGTTTATCATAAAAAATAAGGACAGTTGTAGATATGTCTAATTTAATTTTCTAATGATCATTTACACATTGCCGTTCTTACTCCGCCTATTTCGTTGAAATTATATGAAGATAACGGATTTTTAATGAGATTTGTGTTTAATTAGAATATTAAACATATAAAATTAATCTTTTGTTTTTTATTTCTGTTAAATAAATAGAAATTAATATTGACATATCGACATTATCATCATATTTATTGTTTAATTCTACTAAACTCAGTCGACTTCAATAATCATAATCATAGTTAATAACATGTCCGTTCAAGTATCATACGAGTAATGAGTTGATTATAATTATGAGCACATTCTTAGTACTAGATCTTCAAGTAAATTTTAACTCTTATCAGAAAATAAGTGTTTAAGGAAGTGCAAACATATTCAGTGTATAGGGTAATACATAACTAATACAAAAAAATATTTTTTTATAGTCTATAAAAACGGTATAATCACAACTTACGAGATCTCGAATTAGATTACGAAACACAATGCTGAGCTATATAATCTAACGGATGTATGCCTGTTTTTCTTTTACTACTTAATATTTGATAAGCGTAGTAAAAGTTAAAGTATAGAACCACTAGTTTAAATAATAAAGAAAAAAAAAAAAAGAAGAAAAAAAAATCTCTTTTTTTTTTATTAGGTTCAATAATTTAATTTGCATATTTTTGAGCAATAAAGGAGAATGGATTACACAGAGACAAAAGAAAATTGAAAGTTTGAACATGCTTTGAACAAAGAATAATAAGTAACGCGTTATCTTATATTTAAAATCTATGGGGAGAAAAGGTATATACATATACATAGATATATTAGACTAACGTAAGAAAAAAGAGTTTCATTTCACTAGGTAAAAAAGGATGGAAGAAAATGAGACGATATAGTAAAAGTTTTTTATTCTATCCACATTAGCGATTCACTTGGGTCGGTTCTATTCAAGAAAATGCATAGCTTTCATTCAATAATGTTTTATTTTCGTAAAAATTCAAAAATAATTGGGCATAGCTGGCTAAGTGACTTTTTACAGAAAGATAAATACGTCGAATATATTTTCCAAATTTTTTATCAAAACTGTCTCATTTTTTTGTCAAAACTGTCTCATTTTTTTATCAAAACTGTCTCATTGACTCTCTAGAGTAGTTTTTTTACGAGCAAATGTGAATTTGTAATTATCTTACCGTACGACCATTTTTTTTATCAATCTTGAGTAAATGGCTACAAAAATGCGCGTAAAATCAGAAAACGTTCTCTAGCAAATGCTTGGAGATGTCAAAACCTTTTACTGAATCACTTCCTTCAACTCTAAATGAACAAGAATAATATGAAAATATTTGTTGCATATATATTTCCGGCAAAGTAGAAAAGATAACGTTGGTGGAGTATTTCACTATCTTTCCTATTTTATCTACTTCAAATATTACAGACTTCTTGCGGAAACTAACCTTAAGTAGAAGATCTTTTCGTTTTGAATTTTATATGTGTCACGCTTTTTGTCGTGTCTAAATTATAGAGGATAAAGAACGACATATTCCACACATGTGTTCAACAATAAAAGCCCTTTTTTCCATTTTCAAATAACAACTACACATTGCCTAATTGTTGTCCTTCATTCAAGTTCATCATCATTTCATCTATTTGTTTTCTTCTTCTCTAAGTATAAACATTCTTTTCTCATTTATTGAATATTCAAGTATAGAATATGAGATTTTAGAAATAAATACAAGATTTTTCCTTTTCTTTTTATCACTCGTGGCATTCACTCATAATTGTTGAATTATTGCTAAACTGAACATTGTTGTGTCATTAAAAGAAATCGCCATCCCTAAAGACATGTACTCTATTTCAATTCACAGAATATCTATTGAATATTCTGTTGTTGTTTTTTTTTTGTTCTTCTATTCAATGTGATGGTTTGTGATATAGACTATATAGAAAAGAAGAAATTGTTTCTTTATCTATTCACACTAATAACATATAGAAAGTTTGATAAAAAAAGAAGAAGAAAAATGATTATTTGTTTTTCAACACCAAACATCTTCTGACTCTTATTGCATGATTTTCGAGACAAGGAAGGCCCTAAAAAACAATCAAATGTGGTCACACTTAATCAAATATATATATATAACTGACGAACAATCTCTATCATCCAAATGAGCTTAGTGTAGTATCAATTGACACGTTTATAAAAGTCTTAATCTTATCTAATAACATAAGTCTCAATTATTGACAAAAATAAAACATAATAACTAAACAATATTAACGAAAGTTGAATAATACAACCGGTTTTAAATATAAAACATTTTAACGTTAAATGTATTAAATTAGTATAGAACAAAAAAAATTGTGTACAATATGAAGAGAAGATATCGATCAATCACCACGTCGAATACTTTCCAAGATGTATCTTGTTACCAATTATTGTTCGTTAATGATGGAAACGTGTACAATGATGTCGATGATGTAGTAGTTGTTTGTATTTTATAAGAGTTAAACGAATTATTATCCGAATAATAGTAGTCTTTCATTTCTCGAGATACGGGTGATAAATTAGTCAATTGTTGAGAATGAGAATAATCATTACGTTTTGTCGGTATTTATGAAGTGTTGTTGTTATTTGTTATTGGTATTATAAAATTGTATTATATCATTAAACATCAGGAAATAGGCTAAAATGAAGAAACGACAAATAACTAGAGACGTTGTGTCTTATCTTTTCATTTTTCTTTTCCATTTTGCCAAGAGTGACATTTTTTTTAATCGTTCAAAAACCACAATTTATTAGAAATTATCATAAACTTACTCATTTTTGCTAGATATTTGATTATTTGTAAAAGTTCTTGGTAGATGTTTGGAGTAAAAACTTTTATCTAACATTTGTGTCGAAAGAATCAGACGACTTTGTAATCTCTATTTTCATATCGCTGATCACCTTACTCATCCTTTTTAATAGTGTAGGACTATAAACCCATGAAATAATTTGAAGCGGCTAATGATCTTTAGAATGCGTTAAATACGAAAATATTTCATATTTGACACATTTAAACGGTTTATTACGTGTTAGAAAAGTGGATCAATCTGTTAAATATTTCATATTTAACGCATTCTAACGATCGTTAGCCGTTTCAAACTTTTTTAGGGAATGTTGATCGTAAGATGTTGTATAAATGAAGCCGACAATGAATGTTGCTGTTTATTTCGTAATTCCTGTTGTGAAAAAAACTGATTAACAATAGTTCAAATACAAAGCAGTAAAAATTGTCATCGATTTTTTCGGTACAGAGAGCAGATCGTTTCTAGTTGAAAAAGAGAACAAACCCGATTATTGTTGCTTGATGATTTAACATCGGCGACTTATTATTGTCAAATAGTTAAAAATAAAATATCATTAACAACTTTTTTCATAAACAGGAATATATGCTTACCTTTTCGTCTAACAATGTTTTTTGTATTTTGATGTCTAGTATCGATTTGTTTCGATGCAGATCGTTGTTCAGAACGAATGAGCCAATTTTTTGACAACACATTTTTTTCTACTTCTCCAGCTTCACAGTGTACAAAAACGACATACTTTTTATACAATATTCCAAAGTTTGATTTAGTTTGGAAGACACTGTACGAGATTTTTGTCTAAATACCAAATTGGTTTTCCATTTCTTCTCGTTCGGTTTTATCACTCACCGTAAATTGAATGAGACCTTTTCCAGCCGCTATGTCTAAACAAAACAAATACGTTCGATTTTCTTTTCTTTTCTTTATTAAGTACAGACTCCCCCACGTAAAGGAATTAAACCGCTATATTGATTTCTATAATATCCATTGTATAAAATCCCTAATGTAACAGCAAGTTCAGAGTCAATAAATTTTTTTGTAAATGGATTCAAAACTAGTCGAACTTGTAAATGTTGACTAATTGAACGATTGAGTTTAAGGACTTTTTCAGCATTTTCAAATATACTATGATCGCGATTAAACGCCATTATTATTCAAGAAGTTATCTACAAAACAGATACAAAGATGATTGGTATTACCAATCATATGTAATGTAGTACAAAAGATGGATGTTGTTGCAACTAATGAACTGTTGAAAGCGGATAGAAATTACCATAGTACATGTAAAAATAATACGAATCTCAAAATAATGCTGTTTCTTATATTAGTATGAAATTGAGCAAACAAAATCACTACGAAACAAAATATGGGTCATACGACAGTAGAATTTAACTTAGATGAATGTTTATTATCGGAAAATTCATGAAGCACAACAATATTACCCATCTGATGTATGAAGTCAAACTGAGATGTTCTTTTAACAATCCCAATCATTTTGGTAAGGATCGATCAATTGATAGATTTTTTACTTCACATTTTTCAAACTGAAAAGTAAAAATCATTATACCAAAACAGTACCGTCTTCTATTTTCCTGACTTGTAACATAACATCAAATAGTTTCTTTCCATAACCGCAATGTTGTTTCGATTCATGAGCGTAAAAAAACAATACGCAAAATGCTACTTCGAATGCTCAAAAATATGTTTTCGATGGGTCTTCACCGAGGGCTCGAACGCTCGGAAAATGACACTTCGAACCCTCGATATAAGCTTTCGAGGGGTATCGATTTGAGCCCTCGGATTTTAAATAGGTAGCGAGGCCTCGAGAAAAGCTTCGAGCCGTCGAATAGAGATGTTCGAGACTTTCAAGCCCTCATCGCACTCTAAGGGGAGCAAGAGTTTGGAAGTCCCGAACATCACACCTTCGAGCGATGAGGCCTCGGTAGTGCCGAACATCTGTTCAACAGCTCAAAAGTTTTCTCGAGGCCTTGCTACCTATCTGAAATTCGTGGGCTCGAAATCGATACCCCTCGAAAGCTTATATCGAGGGTCCGAAATGTCATTTTCTGAGGGTTCGAGAAATAGACCCTCGGCAAGGGCGTATTGTCGAGTACTCGCCGTATCCCTCGAACGACTTTTTTCATCTGCTTGGATAGTCTTTGTGTCTGAACATTATACAACATATATTGTAGTTACTCGATAAAATGACATTCCTCAATTCTGCGAACGTTTCAGGAAGCATCGCTCATCGCATCAATAATAAAAGACAGTTCTTCTGACTATCTAAAACCATTAATCAAAGTAGAGTGTTTTTTATTTGAAATCATAAAATCGATTAGTTACGTCATTTCAAATGTTTTGTTTGCTGTTAAGAATGCGATAATCTACGTTTAAGATTGTGACATCATAAGGTAATGCTACATTGATATGGAAAAAAAAATTCCATTTTTTATTGTTTTCAAGCAAACATAACTTGATATCCTTACTTGTCAACAGACCTTTAATCGTTATTAACCGCCACAAACCGTAGATAAGTCTGACAGGACAACACAGGTGGAATACACCATTTTTCAATATTTTACCTTACCCCATGGCAAAATGAGAAAATATTAAAGTGTAGGTAGCATATATCGTGTAGGTATGTTGTTTTTTTTCATTTTTCACTAGATTAACTTGATGAGTATCAAAAGCGTCATCTATCTGGGAACAAAAAATGAATCAACGTTTCTATAAACACTTCCATTTAAGTATTTTTAATAAAGCTTTTTAAAAGTAACAAAGACCAAAATCATATCAGCATCGAATATCTATTCCTAGAATTTATTCGTCATCACAAATACTGTTTTGTAATAAATACTGTATACACTATGTTTAGTTAATACCATAATCTCTTCTTTGTGTTCTACATCATGAAGAGAAAGAGAAAGAAAAGCAATAGTTTATTCCATAGTAAAACAGTAGATATGATAAAATTTGAAAAATTATTTCCTTGCACCTGATGTTGAAAGCAAATTTACATGTCTAATTTATTTATTTATAGCTCACAATAAGAATAAAAAACCAGAAGTACTTTTGTAAAAAAATAATAGTTCTCGAAAGAGAAGCAATGCAAACTTGTTCAAAATCACGTAGCAAAAGGTTGAATATAAAGGATATAAAAAAAGAGCCCAAAACACAAAAGAGTACAATATGAAGACTTTTATCTAACATGAGAAAAGTTATATCAGGAAATATCTGTTAATCAGCAGAAAGAAAAATAAAAGAAAACAACTAAATTGTTAAACATTGACCAAAGTAGAATTTTTTGACGTTGATACGGTAAAATGTGTTTCGTTATCGTTAGTATAAAACTCAGAGACTGATTGATCAAGTAAATCAGAAATAAAACTATCTGAAAAAAACTAAAAAAGAAATATTCTTACAAATATATATGGACAGAAGCAACTCTACGTTTTACCAACCGGACGACTTTTAATTTGAAATTGCTGTGCATCATTCAATGGTAAAATGCTCGAATCTTGATCAAAATATTCAGTTGTACCGTGTTGATGATCATTTGTCTAAATAAAAGAAAAAAAAAATAACAAAAAACTCATCTATAACTATGACTAAAATAATGAGTATAGAACAGCTACAGAAGTATAAAATAAAATTTTTGTATAATCAGTAGGTTTTCTGTTCATTATTCCTTACTGCTTGTCCATCATGTATTGATCTTTCTTGGATCAGTATTTTCAGTCAAATCTCAGAAAAAGCAAGTGAGGACAAAATAATCTAATTGTAACGTTGATAATAAAAAATGGATAGATAAAAAACATATTATACTTTTTCGTTGTACCGTCGTTGTTCACGTATAAAATCATTATCATCTGGAACATGTTTCAAAGAAACGAGACCAAGCTCAATTGCGTCTGACAATAAGTAACGAAAACCCGTTTGTTTATTTTTGATATAACCAGTTGAATCTAATTCACAATAAGGTTCAATACAAACAGTTTGACGAAATTTATCTAAACTATGCACAATTGAATTCAATGATTTGATTAATTCATCAAAAACAGTCATTTCATCAACACGAGACTTTGTTATTGATTGAATTGATGAAACATTTATGGGTGATGGAAATTTTGAATTACGTTGTTGAGAAAATGTATCCTAGAATGTAGCAACAGCAATTCTTTTACACACTATAATATACAACATGAAAGAAAGCAAAATATTATTACTTTTTTTTGTAAACTCTTCAAACAACTGCCTTGGTCAATACTCATAGTAACGGTTGGATTATTTGTCTCTAAAATAAGTAGAAAACAAAGAGTTTATCGACCACGATAGAATCGAAAGGAAAAAAATAAGTTAATAGCTAAATACTTACGCATTGTTGTTCGTAATTCTCCTAAAATATATCCTTGATAGAGTGCTGTATGTAATGGTAGTGAAATTGTGTCTGTCAAACGATATGAAAATGTATCAGTATCAATTAACGCTTGAGCTAGAGCTTGCTTAATGGAAATCATTCTTTTATTCTCTCGATTATCATAGACAGAACGGATAATAAGTATTGCCATTAGTGGTTGAGAATGATCTTCTTTCTCGATGGGATAATATTCAATTTCCATTTCTTCTCGTTCGGTTTCATCACTCACCGTAAATTGAATGAGACCTTTTCCAGCCGCTATGTCTAAACAAAACAAATACGTTCGATTTTCTTTTCTTTTCTTTATTAAGTACAGACTCCCCCACGTAAAGGAATTAAACCGCCATATTGATTTCTATAATATCCATTGTATAAAATCCCTAATGTAACAGCAAGTTCAGAGTCAATAAATTTTTTTGTAAATGGATTCAAAACTAGTCGAACTTGTAAATGTTGACTAATTGAACGATTGAGTTTAAGGACTTTTTCAGCATTTTCAAATATACTATTATCGCGATTAAACGCCATTATTATTCAAGAAGTTATCTACAAAACAAAGATACAAATTGGGTTTTATTGATTTCGTACGATAACAGGACTAGACTATATTCAAATGCACGTACCATTTCACCTCAATTTCATTGCTACCAGGGAGGGTCCTATTCCGATTTGCTGTCAGGACCTTTTAAAAACGTTATAAAAAGCATAGCGATTATCCAGCAAATAAAGAGATTTCTTATCAATATATGTTGTGTGGACATATTTCACATATGTCTTTCTGCTCACATATCTTCTTTTTGTTGTGTCAAAGGCATAGCAGGGAAAAGAACAGAACAGACATATTAATATATGATGTACTGATAAAATACACGTGCAGAAAGAGATATTCTCTTATTTGTCAGATACTTACCCACGCAGACGCTCGACTAGTAAAAAGAACTAGTCGATTTTGACTTTTGGTCGCTAGTCGGAAGTCCAAAACGACTCATCGGAGTGCCATTTCCGGACTAATCGTCGACTAGTCGGTAACTAGTCAGAATAATCTAATAAGAGCAGACTGGCCGCAATGACATGTTTCGACTGTATACTAGTCGCAAAATGGCACTTCGACAAGCCGATTTTACGTTTCGCCGAGCGACAGAAAGCCAAAAAGGACTAGTCACTAGTCGAATTTGGTGTAGTCAAACTGGGAATTCGAGACACTTACTGAAGTATCTATCTCAGGATCGGTGTCCCATTCAAGGATCAGTCCGAACATCAACTCTCACTCAGAACAAGTTTCGATGACCTATTCAATCGAGTAAGAAGAAGAAAATTTCGCTGTCTTTTAATAATCAGTAGTTTATGTAAAGTAGTACAAACAGGAAAAGAAAAAGGTGGCTGAGCGATTTTATGATTTCGACTAGTCGGGAACTAATCGACTAGGTAACGGCTAGTCGAAAAAACGGCAACCAGTCGATGTTGATCCGTTCGACTAGTTAAGAATTCTCACTAGTCGATAATCCAACTACATACCGACTGGTCGGCCAAAATTTCGACATTTCCGACTTGTCGGTATACTAGTCGATTCTGATTTTACGTCCATTTGGGTAGCTAGTCGACTTTTTACTCAAATCTGAAAAAAGACTTAACTAGGAAAAATACGAAATAGCAATAGCATTTCACTTTCTTGAATTTGTCATCAAATTTCATTGTCTTAAACATCGTATATCTACACTCAAGCTTACAAGAATGCGAGCAAATGTAGATTCGACGCAGAACTAAAATAGTTTGATAAAAAATATTGAAACAAAATTGAGATGACATGAGATAATATGTGTATCTGAATATAAATGTAGCTTAATTGACAAATGAGAAAGAATGTGAGAAAAACATGGCAGTTTCCAACACGACTGACCGTTAAATTCGTCAATCATGAATACAATCGCGAATTCGTCAATCATCAATTATCTGCTGTGTTCATCTCTCACCAGGCTTAGTTTCATCGCAGCTTACAATCTGGAAAAGAGAAACTAAGCATCCCATGATGCAATTACATCACTCCAAATGAACGGCGCCACTTACCGTTCCCCTTTTTCTAAACTAGGTTTCTATCTCTCACAGGGCGTTTACCTTAGTAATTAGATACAACTTTTAAGTTCTTGAACTGATTTATTAAAATATTGGATGAGTATATGGTTAATAGGCTGGTGTGAATAGTATTCACTATTTCCAAAATCATCAAACTGAAACCATATCGAATGAATCTAGGATAATAGCGGAGGCACAATACTCGACAGGCTTGGGTCTCAATTTCAGCCCTACTTCAGTCTCACTAGGTTTCGAGAAAGAAATATATTTTGTCTGCTGAAGGGTTGAGAGTTAGATATCCAAAAAAGAATGAATGAAGAACATCTCGATTAACACCGTAACTCTAGAGCTTTTTTACCCTTTTAATTTGAGATAGCCTGGAAAAAGTCGTTCCATACTACTACGATAAGAATTTTTCTTAAATTCATACTAGCTTCAAGGGAAAAAAATGTTGAGCCACACAAGTTTTCACGAGATTCCACCGCCTATGACTGAATTAATAATACGCACGTTCGCTACGTAAAGAATGTTTTCATAGTTTAGTTATTTAATGTTGGCTTCTTCTAGAATAATGACGTTCATCTAATAGGTAATAAACCAGAGTAAATTCAGACGAAACTCAAGAAAATTGAGAAAATCAGCAACGATCAGTATAATCGCTGATCTGAAATAAACATTTTTTTTGAAAAGAAATTGCTTAGTGTTAATGATAACTTCTAGCTCAGGCAGAAATCCTACGATTTATGCAAGAAAATGAGGTGATGGTTGATGTTGATTCTCAGCGATCAATATTTACATTCGCGGTATATAAGTAACCCTCAGAACACAAGACAATTTTTTACGTTTTCTGATTATTAGTTTTCTTCTAGACTTTGTTCGTACTTGCTCCGGACGGTCTTCAACAACTTTTTCGGACAGTGGACGATGCAAGCCAAAGTCCAGGACCAGACACCCGTAAATATGAAATCTCTCTTCATTCTTTAAACCTGTTTAACTGTTATTTTTAACAATGTATGAGATGCTCAAAAACTCTATGAATTTTGAATGATATTATTAAATACTACCACTGAATACTATTAAAATTCTAGATTCTCATCCAGTCTTGAAAAAATCTTTGACAAAGTAACCTGTATATTAGTAAGATCATAACAAGATTGCAGTGAGTTTCTCGCTAAGATATGCTCATTATATAGTGCACCAACATCACCATTGAACTAGACGTTCGTCGTTATATTTCATATATGCTGTATATGACTCACGTCAGTTGGACAGACGCTAACGGTAGTTGACAAGATTTATTGACGATCATAAAGTCTTTTCAACTTTATAAAATGTTACGAATATTATTCTATGCGGTGGACGTACGTAAACAAATTTCAATTAGAATTCTCAGCCACTCAGATTGTATCACAACGAAAGTCAAGTGCAATGAATCCGACAAGCAAACGTTTCTTGAGTACATTTAACAGTTCATTATCAATCACTTTACAATATTCAGTCAGTAAGGAATTTAAGAATTTCATGCATTCTAAAGAAAAAATTCGTCTGAAAATAAAACGGTATAAGTCGGTTGCAAAGTGGTCGTACTTTGACCATTACTTCGATTAGCATTTTATTATCTTAATGGCAGTCCAGTTTAAGGGTATAAGAGAACTGTGGGTACGGACGATGTCTGTTAGAAACCAAGTAAACTGGCAAGTTCTTTTTTAAGGAATCACTGTTCTTTATATACAAGTGATGAATGCAAATAAAGGATTGAAGGGCGTAAGGCTTATAAATCTTTCGATTTATCAATATTTTATAAGTAGGAGCGTTTCAATTCTTCAGTACCGGAAGCCGTTAAACTTGTATAAATTGATTAAGTGACGAACAATATGCTGATCATTTGTTGTTTTGAATATCTTTGGAGGAGGAGGAGGAAATGATGGAATGCATGGCTGTGTTGCATATATAGGATTGTCGACATCATCGTTGGAATAGTAGGTTGTTCGGGATTTCTGAAATATAAGAAATTCAAGTCTTGTGCTTTGAAATCGAAAGATTGCCCACAATGTAGATATTGATGAACTATTAGGTTGCCTAGGACTGATGCCGTCATATAATGTGCCATTAAAAACGGTTGAACTAAATGTTTGTCATCAGTCGATATTTCAAAGAGAACTTCTCTTCAAACCATTTGGACTCTTGACGTTAGGATCTGTGCATGTTTGCATGTTTTAATTTCGATAAATCAATACGAGGGCTGACATAGAATTAAGAAAGTATCGCAGTAAGTTCGAAACTCAATTAACATTGAGAACTTTATCAATAATTTAAAAGTCGTTCAATTTTTCTCTTAAACTCTAATTCGAAAATGTTCCGTATATGTCAATAAAAATATACGATCGATGTATTTTTCACTACATTAACCACCTCCAAAACAGAACGATGGTCGACTATCTGTTACTTCCAGGGATGTAAGAATTCACGATTGATATAACTTTTTTTCTCAAGTCGTTCATATCAAATATAGTTCAACTTTATATTGTAAGGTGATTGAAAGAAATGAAAATGTGTTTCACACTGTATATAGTAACCTACATTTTTCTCTTTCTACCAAATAAGTAAATAAAAAGAAAAGAGAATGATATTCATTTATATGTATACAAGCGCACTAGTCTACGTCACCGTCGTATGGGTTTTAGTATTTTTAATGGTTTCCTAAATATATTGTAAATACAGTCTCTACTTTTCTTACAAATTGTTTACTGCAACTACGTCGTTTTATGGAATAGCTTCTCTTTTTTGTATCATATATTTCGATAGAAAAAGAATGACTGTTCATTTCTGATGTACAGAGAAGATTTGTAAATGCTCTCGTTTCATATAATTAATATAATCGATTTCGATGTCGTACGAAAATATTTTGCAACTAACTGTCGTCATTCAGTTCTTGAGAAGTATATCATAAAAAAGATTCAATATCTTAAAAAGTATACAGTATTGAAGTCAACACCCAATATGAACATGGGAAATTTATCGAATTATACAGGGTCGGTTATAAAAACCTTTTTATTACTCTTGATATTTATAACATTAGTCATCCATCTCTGCTCGAGATGTTCAGTTCTCGGAACCGGAACTTCGGTTCTCTTACTTCCGGTTCTTTATCGGGAATCGGAACCGCTGTTTCTTAGACGATTCCTTTTTTTCGGAACCGAGAATATTGATCTAACGGCCAAAGGATGCCGTTGCTACGGCCTTAGACGTTTTTTTTCGGCAGTTTTTCTTTGCCTTACATACATTGCAAAAGACTTGTAATCAATAATTATCCATTCAAAATAAAATTTGAGCTTGGTTTCGTCTAAATGCACTTAGACTGTATTAGTGATTTGAATAAGTGCACACATACTGCATTCATTCAAGTCCCTAATACAGTCTAAGTGCATTTAGACGAAACCAAGCTCAAATTTTATTTTGAATGGATAATTATTGATTACAAGTCTTTTGCAATGTATGTAAGGCAAAGAAAAACTGCCGAAAAAAAACGTCTTAGAATCACGAAAGGAAGCACTTTTTTTTCCTTGGCCGGTAGATCATATTTAATTTGCCTTTTTTTTAACAAGATGAAAACCCACTATTGACAAGGCCACAAAAAGATATATTTGCCTATCGTCATTTGAAAGAATCCTTTCGTTTACTATAAATGAATTCTGTTTCATTGAATTGCTACTGCTTGAAAAATTATTTTCCGGTTCTGAACCGAGAACCGTAGTTCTGTTCTAAGTTCGGAATCGAAACCGCGGTTCTTTTCGTTTTGGTTCTAACTCGAGAATCGAACATCCCTAATTTCTGTTTAGTTAAACGTCCAACGTTGCTTTTGATAATATTTTTAATGTTCCCATGTCAAGTAAAATATTTAGTTAAAATTTCATCCAGTTTTTACCTTTGGCAGCTCTTATAACGCGTCAAATATTTAAACTAAGACTTTGTTTACATTAGATACAAATGATCTATAAACATTAAAAAACACTTATGGTGCTTTTTAGATCAATACTACAGTTTTTTTCCTTTTGTCAAAACATTATTGTTACAGACACGCACTGTTGCTCTTTCTATTCTAATTTCAAAAGAAAATGGAGCTTAATCACCTGTCATCCATACACATGTCAACGCTTAAATTGTTCAAAATTGAAAAATAGTATATTGATACTGTATACAGAAAACACTCTGTATTGTACAAATAAAAACAAAATTTTTTCAGTTTTCAGCGAAAAATCATGTTATAAGAGTCGAATGAATAGACAGTTGTACAATATAAAGAAATTAATTTTCTAATAAATCTACGTAAAAAATATTTTATCTGATATCTGCCGGGTTACTCATAGTGTATTGTGTAAAATATTGTGTTGTGTTAGTAAGTTGAAAAACTATGTGCCTAAGTTAAATATGATATTAATCATTTCGATAAAAACTCAAGAATTTCTGACATATCATATCGAACGATCTTAAGTTTATGATGTGGTAAGACACTCATGAAATCTATAGAAGAAAGACGTTTACATTAGTTGAATTTCTTCGTATAAAAATTCCAATGCAATTCATTTGCTCAGACAGTCGTATGCTTTTTCCTAGAAAGATGTGTATCCGGTTAAAAAAACAAACTTTTTTTTAGAAAAGAAAAACAAGAAGAAAGAGCAGTAGAGAATATTAAAGAGAATAATGAGTATAAAACTTCAACAACATACATGATCAGATTTTTACTAAATCTAACATTTTATTTTATTTTCAAGTTTTCGATGTATATATTCATTTTCCTGCTGATGATGTGTGAAATACATTGAAAATTTGAAAATAAAATAAAATATTAGATTTAGTAAAAATCTGATGATATATCTATTGACTTAATTGTTAATGGCAGAACTTTTACAATAAAAATTTGTTTTATCATAAATTGCAGCTAGTATAAAATAAAGTAAAATAAGAAATATTTATGATAAAACAGAAATTAATTATGTATTTTGTAGCAGTTTTATACTCATTATTCTCTTCAAAAAATTTTCTTACAGTCTTGGTTGAACGTCTGAATTTTGATGAATACACTATTGTTATTAAATCTCAAGAGTCCGAATTATTCTAAACAATGGCAGACGAGAGATTAATTATGAAGAATGGAACAATCATACACTTTTCTATCAACTTTATATACTAAATGAAATGTTTTATCACTATAAATTGTTGTTATTATGATTGTATGTAAACCAGTGTGAGTTTATCATCAAGAAGAAAATATATGTTATTATTGTTTAAAAAACGTTTTCGTTCATTATTAATCTCGATATTGATTATTGTTCTAATTTTTTTACTATCAATTATTTCCTCAAAATATCCTATAACAAAATTTATTCTTTATCGTAATTTAACTTGTTCAATATCAGCTGTAAATGTGTCGTCAATATTGAAAAAAAAAGAAAAGTTATTTGAAATTCCGAATAATTCCGATTATCTTGTTGTATCCTATAGATCATTTATATTAAGAACAAGTATTGGCTGTATAGGAAGTAAAAATGTATTTAAAATACCAAAAGAAGATTATTCGAAGTTTCATCCGTCCTATTCGAAGTACTTAAACGGTACATTTTCATATTTATTACCAAATGAGAATATTACCTACAATGATATTGACAATTTTTATTTTAATTTAACGAACGATAAAAGGGTAAAGATGAACTTCTCAAACTCGAGGACTAAGTTTGAGAATATTCTACGTCGACATGATCCATTTTGAAAATGTAAACTAAAACTACTATGTATTACAAATTAAGATGTAGCTCACTATTTTTTATATAACTCAAAAAACGAAAAGAAATTGAGAATTGCGGTTTTGGTCAAAACGACTTTGAAGCACTATTTCATAATGAAAAGAAATTTACTAGATTTTCTAGAGGATCGTTTGAAAACTTACATATAGAAGTAAAATAAATATATTGACTTATTAAATATGTAGATAGCCTAAAGTGTCTTCTTTAAAATGAGAGTCATGCTAGGCCTTACTATTGCATCCTTTAGACGAAGTAAAGGGTTTCTTGGAAGGATTGCGACAACTTTGCCATCTTGTAGGGTAACATCAAAAACCTGTCAAAATATAGATTGCTAATCATAATGAATCTCTTAGGAATGTTTGTTTTCTAAAGGAAATTCGAAAACCTGGTAATAATCAACATTAGATAGAATTACTAAATGTCAAATTTATTCTCGAGTTTGGATGTAGTTTTTTTATGCAAGCACAATTTAATTATTCTAAAAAGTTTTTCTTCATAGTTTAGTTGAAAGTACCATTAAATATGTCGTTTGTGCCCAATTCAACATTTACAAATATTCCCTATCTCTATCGAAATGGTATGTGGGAACCAGCTGAAGTGATATCATCTCAACGAACAGCAATACTTGTACCACTACAAGGACGTGATTATAACGCAAAAACGTTTCTATTTAACATGCATGCATTTCTTCGTCGTCAACTATTGACTTATGCTATTTATTTTGTTAATCAAATTTATCCGTTAGATCGATTTAATAAAGGACGTTTATATAATTTGGCTATTAAATATATTCGAAGGCATTCTCCTGAAAAAAATATAACTTGTTTTATTTTACATGATGTTGATTTATTGCCTGAGCATGATCAAAATTTTTATATATGCGAGACAAATCCGAAACATACAACATCTCGTATTAGAAAAGCAAAGGGAACAAAATATGCAATAAACTATGAATTTCTTATTGGTGGTGTACTAATGTTAACATTTGAACAATATATGTTAATAAACGGATTTTCAAATCAATATTGGAATTGGGGAGGTGAAGATGACGATGTTTCTTTAAGAATTATTCACAAAGAGATGTGTGTGGTGAGACCGCCGTTAGAACATGCAAAATATATATCGTTACCACATCTTGGACAAAAACCAAATTTAAAACGATTTGAATTATTAAGATGGACTACTCTAAGAATGTCAATCGATGGATATTCAAATATTGATAAATATGCACAAATAGTTAAAGCTAAACAGGATTTTGCCGCTGTATTTCTCGATGCTGCATTGATGCAAATCTCCGTCGATTGAAAGAGATTTAGAACAAATATCATAGAAGGAACACAAACTTGTATCAAAGTTAACGGTTTAACGAGTGTAAGATCGATCGAACTGTGATCCAGTAGATATCTAAAAGGAATATGACAAAAACAGAAATTTTGAAATTTATCGGACAAAATATTTAAATCTTTTTTTCAAAGAACAACTATTGTGTGTGTTTGTTTTTAAACCGCTTCCGACAACGATAAAATACTACGTTATATTTTCGTATTTACACACTTCGATAATCAAAAATATTAATATATAATTCAAAAATATATAATTAAAAACAAACAAACTTACAATCAATTGAATGTAATATTTATATCGAAAACTAGAAAGGTTTTAAAAGATGCCTCTCAAACTAAAAATTTCAACTAATTTTGAACTTAGTTAAGTAATAACTCTGTCAATACTTGACCAACGAGTTTTTTATTGCATAGGGATACCATTGAAGGTGTTCTCTACAAACATGTCTGGGGAATCATAACACTATTATAAAAATAATTCTTTTTCTGGCGGTATATTCAAATCTTTCAAGTTAATCTGATTTTTGTTACACTCTGAAAATCTGTAGAAAAATGAACAAGCTTTTTTTTGTGGTTTCTCTCTTAAAACATGCGTTTAGTTTCTTAAACGGATTCACAAAGATTTTGTTAGTCAATTTTATGACAACTACTATCCATTTTAAAATATAAGATCATGTTTTTTGAATAACTTTTGATAGGAATGAGACAGTGACTCGCGGCTTTCATCATTCAACAGAAGAAGCTTGAGGGCATGTTTCCATAAGCAAAAATCTTTCCAGAACAGTTTTTTAAAATAGGTTTTCTAGTTCTTTAGAAAATCTGGTTGTGACTTCTAATAGGAAAATAACTGAGTGTTTATTTTCACGGGAAATAATTCACTCAAAATCGATCCAAACTGCCTCATGATATCAAGATAAATTCTATTTCATCTGCGTAATCAAATTCTATACTTGAAACTAGTAAAAATTATTCTTTCACTAAGAAAGACTTCTATGTGTCCATTGGTTATGTATAGCATCATATATTAGTATGTTATAATATCGAATTTCCTTGGAGTTCCAGGACTGGCAGTCCGCGAGTATTGGTAACCTCGAAAGAGGATGAATTATATGTAATCAATCATGTTGAGTCTTGTGACAATATTTATTTTTAGAAAAAGACTTTTTATGCGGATAGTAATGATATTCAATGCAATTGGTGAATGTTTCTGATATTGAAAATAATCCTGACAACGCTTCACTTCACGTCATAAACAAACCTTTTCTGCTGAGTGGAAGAGGTATACAAAGGACATGAAAACTATCTGATCATTCTATATTCTGGACTTATTTATTATTTCATTGGAGGAAGAGTCAAGATAATTGCTTTTTTTACTGTTGAATACAGTCATTTCTAAGCATCCTTCATAGTTCGTAGTTATTAACATAATGCGGAGTTAATATTTTATCTGACAAGAAAGAATTATCATCGTATTATAACAGCGCTAACAAAACAAATTTTCTTAAAACTATTTTTTTTTTGTCGTAGGCGTCAATTTTGCAGTTGTTGTAGTCACTTTTGAAGTTGATAACGACGTATCTTTACTATTTGTGATATCAACATTGACTTTTAGATGCGTGAATGTAGTCCATCTCTTTACTTCAACAATTCTGGTTAAAGTTTCAATATTATGTAAACCATCAGTTTTCAAACGAATTGTTGACCATAATAATAAGCCAAAACGTTGATTATTTCTTTGACCTTTTGGATGGGGTAAGGCTAAAACAAGAAAAAAAGAAATTGTTAAAGATAGACTTATTGATTATGGATATTTTCATCAACTTTTTTCAGATTCAAACGTACCCGTGTAAATAGCTACTGCAAAAGGTGGTCGTATAACGCACATTTTTTGCTGAACGAATCGTAATGCCAGATCGTCATCTTCACCACCCCAACCCCAATATAAATTTGAAAAACCATTTAACTCTTCATAATGATTGTACGTTAGAATTAGAACGCCACCAATTAAAAATTCATAATATTTGACGTAGTTTCCTCTTATTAATTGCCTAACACGGGATGTTGTATGTTTTGGATTCATTGTTTCACACGAATAATAATTAGAGTCATGTTCAGGTATTAAATCAACATCGTGTAGAATATAACAGGTTATGTTGAGTGATTTATTTTGACGAATGTAATTGAAGGCAGTATTGTACAAACGACCTTTATTAAATTTGTTCATTGGATACGTTTGTTCAATAATAAATATTGCGTATGTTAATAACTGTCGACGAAAATATGCGTGTAAATTTAAAAGAAATGCTTTAGCGTTATAATGTCGACCTTGTAATGGTACCAAAATGGCTGATCGTTGATACGACTGAACCTCAATAGGCTCCCACATACCATTCTTATAGATGTATGGTACATTAGCGAAAGTTAAATTGGTTGCAAACGATGTATGCCTAGGAACGAATGCTTCTTTACTATAATTCAATGACGACAAATCAGTATAAAACTTTTCAATATCGTCGAATGTTATATTCTGTGAGGGTATCACATAGGGGAATATACCATTTAAATATTTCGAATATTTCGGATGTAACGACGATAGATTTTTAGTAGGATTATCAAATTTAAACACTCGACAAGCAATTGACGTTCTTAGAGCAAATTCTCTATAAGGTATCAACAAATAACTTTCAGGTATCGAAAATGGAAGAGATTTTGACTCATTTTTACAAAATGATAAACTATAGATTAGTGGAACTTGGCGAGAGTTAAACGATGAAGATATTAAAGTCGTAATGATGATGAATAGTATAGTAGAAAACAAAATAAAGCGAAATAGACTTTTCTTTAACAATGGAAATTTTCGTGGAGTCATCTAAAACAAATAATATTCAAATTGTATACAGTATTGCCATACACAAATTTTCTTACCCAGATTTCCAAGACATAAAATACTGTTTGCTATTTTCAGAGTTTGTCAGCGTATATACGAAAAAGATTTTAGCCAGATACTTACTCTTATGATTAAGTACTAATTTCTTTTATCGTATTCTTCTATTATACTATTCTTCCTGTCAACAGATGTGTTATGTTCGATAAGCACCGGTGCTTTCTTCATGCTATTCTATTTTTAGCTTATGCATTATAGTACTATATTAAATTATCATCTATCTGCAGAGTAATAAAACGATCCAAGGTATGTTATTATACCGGTCAGTTTAGCAAATTTTAATATATCAATGGGTTACAAATCCAAAATTCTGTAAAATTTTGTATATTCTTCTAGAACAAAAACATTTACAAAATTTTGTATTAGTTCAACTAATATAGAATTTTGTAATAAAATATTTACAAAATATGTAACAAAATATGTAGCAAAATATTTACAAAATTTATATTAGTTCGGCTAATAGAGAATTTTATAAATATTTCGTTCTAGAAGAATATACAAAATTTTGCAGAATTTCGGATTTGTAACCAATTTTTACTCGTCCAAATTTCGGATTTGTAACTATTCGCTTTGCGTCACTTATGTTTTTGCATTTTTTTTGCATGCAAAAAGACTTTTGAAATTTCTACATGGACTTCGACATATTTTTCAATTTCTCTTACAAAAGTCTGCGAACATCATATAGACGGATTGCCCATAGGTACTGTGCGTTCTTTCAAGATTTACAAAATTCTTTAAATCAGGTTTCTAAAAGCTCTCAATCTTCTGACCCATCAATCTCAAATAATCGATTTTTAAATAATTACAGTAGGTTCTTCTCATTAAAATAAAATGTGGAGCGACTCTGTATAACTTCACATTGGAAATTTTATCAACATTTTCTTGCAAGTCCGAAAATGCACCGCACCGTTAGCAGATTTCATTTATTTATTTCTTGGAGCTCTTAACTGCAAATGTTCGCCAAAAAGTAGCCAAGAGAAGAATTAAAAAACGCATCAACCAAATTTTAGATTAACATGGCTAGATTAGTTTAAAACAAATTTGATCTTCGCCTCCGTCAAAAAAGTTCTAGTTGGACAGAAAGTTAGACAACTAGATGCTAACTGTGCTCTCCAAAGATTGGAAGCAGACTGAGTGAAACGCGAATGGGATCAGCTAGCTTCTAGCTATAGCAGTACAGTGGATGTAACGCTTAGTAAACTGCTATATATATTTTCTCCTTTAGCAACAAAATATGTTTCGAATTTTATCTTCTACAGCATATTATTCACATTATCGTATCAGCTGATTCATTATCACATCATACATTCTGCTATAGCTCTCATTATATCAAGCACTATAGTCTATATTTACCACGAAGGATATCACGTAACGATTAATTATCTGATAGGAGAAACGATAAATTTTCTGAAAAATATACTCACTTTGTGGCACTAATTGTACGATAACTCAAGCAAATATCCGAAAACTAACTCCAGTTGTGTCATGTACGACTCTTCTATTTTCGAATCATCTTTTTCCCGAATCTGTACGATCAGAGTAGAGACGTGCAACCCGACCTGACCCTAGGGTCGGATTCGGTTCAGATTAAGCTGCTATCGGGTTGGAACCGGTTCGGATTAAGATGTTGTCGGGTCGGGTCGAGGTCGGGTTGAACATTGTGTGGTGCAATTTAAAATATAGATAATAATTCTAATTTTGTATTACTCGTTTAAAAGTTATCTCTACTGGAATGTTTAGTTGAAATACTTATTTCAGAACAACTGCATTCACTAACGAGGCACGGAAGGTCTTCAGATGCCCAACTCGGTTTTTAGTGATATTATGTCAGTTAATAGAGGAAAGTGAGCTGATAAAAACCCTTAAAGGAGGACCCATACCAGTTCTTTCAAAAGTTATGAATTTTTTTGTTCTAAAGGAACACTGTGTGTAGTAACAGCAATAATTCTGTAACCCAGTCAAAACAAAGAATTTAGAGGTGAAATTTTCTTTTGTACTTTTGCTAATAGTCTGCTAGTACTACAGAAAATTTTAGTATTATATCTTTCTAAGTTCGCTTGTTATTGAACTTTTCTTCTTGAAGGAAAACAATGTTTTTCCAAACCGCACAATTTTCAATGATAACATTTCTTTTTTATTAGAGGTGATATTGCGTGCATTTTTTCCTGCTGAAAACATTCTGGTACGGGAATAAAACAAAGAAGATAATTAGCTTTGTCACGTACGTGCTTTCTCGTTTGTGAGACAAAGGGAAACTAGAGAGCCAACTAGAGAACCCTTGAGGAAAGATTGGAAAGTCGACTTTTTTTCAGAAAGATAATGTGCTTCTACGGGATATCATTCATATTATCATATCAGCCGGTTCATTCGCCTATAAAACCTTCTGCTTTAGTTTTCAGCACATCAAGCACTACAGTATATCTTCACTATGCAGGATATCATGTGATGATTAATCATCTAAAAGGAAAAACAAGAGAGTTGTCCTGGCCTTTTTAAGGATCTTAAGGATGTTCTCTTGTTTTAGGAAAACACTATTCTCATTCAAGAAGCAAAGTTCAATAACAAGCGAATTTAGAAAGATACAACGCTCAAATTTTCTGTAATATTAGCAGACTATTAGCAAAATATCACTCGCCTGTAATGCGATGCCCTTCGCTAAACAAATAGGTAAATAAAAAGACATAAATTTAAGAAAAAAACAAAAGAGTAAATGTTTATTAGTTCGGGTCGGGTCGGGTTCAGGTTAAGATGGTGTCGAGTCGGCATTTTGACAGTTGGATCGGGTTCAGGTTACGTTTTCTTAACCCGTGCAGGTCTCTAGATCAGAGATATATAATAAGAAAACTTGCAGAGTCGAAGACAGAAAGAATGAGTCTAAGAACGTGAATCCGTTTTGCTGCAGAATGTCTTCTGCCTATACTCTAACGTAAATTTCAGTATTTTTCTGTTTTTTAATCGATTAGCTTCCTTATAAGATTTGAAACAAACTTATTTGATGTAGGAAACCAAATATTATTTGCGATTGTCATCTATTTTATGATATTTATTGGTGTCATTCATATGAAATTGACATTTAACATTGAAAACCGAAATCAGCGTTTTTTTCTTTACTAACAATAAATCAATACAACAGAAGTTTAGCATATGTTAACGGCCGATAGGTTAACAAACGCCGATTTCTCAATTGTATGTAAAACACCTCTTTTAAACTTTGAAGACAATAGTTTATGGAAGTGTTTTCATTTGTTTTTCGTACTTTTCACACTGCCACACTAGTCATGAGACTTTTATGTCTGTTGTCTGCATTTATTTTGTAGTTTTGTTACGAACTTAAGTTAATATAAATCAGATATTAAAGATGACAAGACAAGCAAGGTTAATACACACAAAAGAGGAAGAGTGGAAATTTGTTGGCGACTTACGGAATTACGAACAGATATTTAAGGTTTACGATATTCTGAAGCATGAAATGAATGTTTTAATAGAAAATCGAAATGATTTACTATTAAAATTAATATTAACTATATAGAAAATGCAGAATTCGAGAAATTCAGATTTGTCTAGAAATTAGATTAGAAAATTGTGAACTATGGCATAAGGAGGTATTCTTAAAAAAGAGTAGATTATTATGTAGAAAATATTTTCTACTTGACAATGTGGATGACATGCTGAGATACGAATGAGTTTTAGGTTATTATATGAAGCTTTTTCTTTTATATTCATTCATACGTATTGATTCTTCTCGTCCTGCTTTATAATCATAATACTCCTTACTACACACAACTCTTACATGTTATTCTAAAAAACTAATTTCCTCAATTGTTTACTTTCAACGTGACCTTTCTATGATGGGTAAAAATGTACTATTTTAAGGTTCTGCTTTAAGGTGTTTATGAGATATGACATTGATTTGTGTATTTCGTGATAATTTCTTATATTTTTTCTTTGTACGTTGAGATAATATTATGTTCATAGCAATGACATCTAATGAAGTTTTTTGATACCAAATATTGCCTTTGAACTTGGAAAAAGTCTACATTTTGTACCTTTGCAATACGTTTGAACGCATTAAATCGATAAAGAACTCTTTAATACATTCCCTAGTGAACTTCTTGTACCCGAGACCTTGGGTTAAAGAAATGTCACAAGATCTTGCAAAAAAAATCAAGAAGTCAAGATCTTGGATTCTTGAATCTTTCACTCACGACCTTGAAACATCTTAGCTTACTCCACTCAAGATCTTGGGAACAGAAATTTCAAGATCTTGAGTGGAATAAGCTAAGATGTTTCAAGATCTTGAATCAAGGTCTTACTGGAAAAATTCAAGAAGTCAAGATATTGGTTACAAGGAGTTTCACTAGGGATTCACATACCTTAAAATTCAATGTATTCCCTAGTTAACTTTTTTTAAAAACTCCTCGAGGAGTCCCTAGGGAGTCACCATCAGACTCCCCAAAAATGTATATTTCCCGGGGAGTCCCTGATAACTGCCCATCCAGCTTTTTGTTTTGCGAACAGTCATACATAAATATATCACTGTTCTGTGCAAAAATTCGTCGAATTTTCTGTATTAGTTAATACAGAATTTCGCATCTGTAATCATTTTTTGCGTTACGCCACTTATGTTTTTGCATTATTTTTTGCGTTATTCACTCAATTAAAGCAAGTTGTTGGCAACATTCGGTACTCTCCTTTACTATCTCGGCTACAGCCGTCATATTACTGAAAACTAAACTTAAAACATCAGCAATGTTGATTAACTTTGTTCACGACAGTCAAAAATACCCAGACTATGATATAAGCTCAGACGAATCAGATTCACGCTATGCTTTGCGCAGTGAGAGTGAAAGTGACCATTCAGACATGTAGTGTCCTGAGTATGCTTTTTTATACGCCAACGTACGAGAAGAAATAAATAACTCCAC